TGCAGTGTTATACTCTAAACTGAGTCCTGCTCAGAAGATGGCAGAGGTGGTGCATAATGAACATACTAATTTGACAGTGGATCCTACAGATGCACTGAGTGACTCCCCCAATCCCTCCCAGTCCCACTCCTCATCCCACCAGCTCATTGAGGGGCTCCACCAGCAGCCCCACACCAGTCTCACCTCTCTTATAACCTCAGTCATGGTTAGGAATCGACTCCTATGGGAGTGTGTACATGGAGACTCACTGGGAAAACTCAGGATGTCCCATCTGTGCCAAAACTTGCAGTATTTTCCACTTTCCCCTGCCTGTGCTCCTTGCCAGGCGAAGCTCACCCTGGGAGATGAGCCCGTGGTAGTTTGCCCTTAAACCCAACACTGAATTAAAACCCACTTTCCTCCTTGTATCCCGTGGCCAAACACATCCTGCTGCCGGCATTCCAAAGGCAGAGGGGCAGTCTTGGTTTTCCAAATAACAGCCTGAAAAGCTCTGGGGGAAAAGGGGACTGCAAGGGGTCCTTGACCTGTCCCTCTCCCTCGGCTTAATGCCCGTGGAGCAGGGATGGCCATGTGACAGTGTTAATAACTGAGCAATCACTAGGAACAGCTCTTGGGAGCTTCATTTGACCCCTTGGATACCTGAGAGCAAGCAGGAGGGTTGAATCTGGGAGTGGTGCAGGTGTTTTCCTGCAGGGAAGGTTTATCACTGGAGGAGGGATGGAGCACAGGACCCCCCTGTTTCTGATGCAGGCAGTGTGTGGGCAATGTCTGAAGCAAAACCTGGGAATTTGAGGGTTTGCTGGAAAACAAAAAAATCCTGCAGGGAGCAAAATCCATGGGAGAAGCCCCTCTCTGGTGTCAGAGGGATTTTGGCTGTGGGTGGGGAGGGGCGATGCCACTGGAGCAGGAACACCCTTCACTGGTTTGTGGCTCTGCCCGTGCTCCCTCTGCCCAGCGCTGCCTCCAGGCAAGGCCACCCAGGGGGCATCACATCCAGCCCCCTTGGGACCTGCACCCAGAAACCCCCCCAGGGAGCTGCAGCCTTGGCTGGTGAGGGAGAGGAGGGAGGAGGAAGGTCAGGAGTGTGTACAGGTCATGGCTCTGCTCTGGGGGCGCTTCCCAGCACAGAGAGGGAAGCTGTTGGTGACTCCTCCCGGGGGGTGCAGGGCACACAGAACCCCCTCAGCCTCTCTGGGCAGTGAACAGGAGAAGCAAATCCTTCACGAGGGTGTGAAGCCCCTGTGCTGCTCCAGGGGCTCCCAGGCTGCTCAGCCCCTTTAGTGCAGGGACTTTTCCTCCTGCTCCCTTTAGGATGTGGAACTGGCAGAGATAAACATGTAAGAGACCCAACAACACCCGCAGGAGACTCGTCCTTGCCCAGCTACCGTGGGCTGGGCCACTCAGGGAATGGGTCAAACACACCCCAGGTGCCCCCAGTTCTTTGGGAGCTGCAGGAGAACCAGTTGTGGCATCTCAGCCTCTCCCAAGGGTGCTCAGGGGACTCTGCAGCCATGTGAGGGTATTTTTGGGTGACTCCTGCCCCACACAGCCCCATCCCTGTCATGTGGAAAAACAGGTAGGAACCACCCCAAACGCTGCAGCTGGGTGGGCACAATGTCCCTGCAGTGGGAGCCAGGCCTGGGGGGCAGAGGGGCTCCAGGGAGGGAGGGGGAGCTGGAGCTCGTTGAACAATGGAGAGGTCCCAAGACACAGCAGTTATTTAGGATAACTCATCTTCAGCATTCCCTGGGGGATCCTCCCAGGCTGGGGGGGGGCTCACAGGCACCGTGGGGCAGAAGTCTGGAGGGATGGGAGGGCTGAACTTGCTGCCTCATCCTGCTCCCCCAGCTCACCAGCACTGCACTGCCTGGACCGGGAAAGCCTGATGGGGAAAAATAAATTACAAATCTCGCTAAGTGTATTATTTGGCCACACTGAATAAAAAGACGGTCGTGCAACCTGCTTTAGAGGAAGGTGTCCCTGCCCACGGAGGTGGGGTTGGAACGAGATGAGCTTTAAGGTCCCTTCCAAAGCAAACAATTCCAGGATTCTGTGATCCCGTGCCTTTCCCGTCGAGAAGCTGCAGCGGGGGAGCTGCGGCTGCCGAGGAGCTGCGCTGACCCGGGGCTGTGTTACCTTCAGGAGAGGGTATGTCCATAAACCACACGTGTGCACTAAGGACAGGATTTATGGATTGAGCCTTACTGGCTCCGGCAGCGGCGGCCGCCTCCCGGTCCCCCCCGGCGGCTGCTCCCGCCGCCCGGTCCTGCGGTGGAAGTTCAAGGTTTATCCGAGCCGGGAGCCCGGGAGATGTTTTAATGGCAAATGGATGTCTGGGGCTTTTACAGGCGGGAGGAGGAAAACTTCCCTGCAGCCGAGGCAGAGCTGCCAGGCCCCGGCGCAGGTGAGTGCGGGTCCATCCCGGAGGCCTGGCACGGCACAGGGCACAGGGAATTGCTGCTCCTCCCGCTCCAGCCCCGCGGAGCGCTTGGTTTCACCTGATCAATAAAGTCGTGTCTATCGATCCCGCCCGCTGCGATCGCTCCTCCGCAGCCCCGCGGCCGCTCCCGCCCGGGGAAATTCGGGAGATTTGGAGCCGCGGGGATGCTCAGGGAGGGTTTGAGTGGTCAGGAGAGTGAGGGGCAGCGCTGCCATGGGGGGGGCAGGGAGAGGGGACAAGGTGAGAGCGGCTGGAGGGGTTGGAGAGCGGGGGAGCTGAGGCACATCCAGGGGTGCACGTTGTGGAGAGTCTGGGGGGGGGCACAGTGGGTGTTGTGGGGTACACAGAGGGGGGAAAAACGTGGTGGGAGAGCTGGGGTGCACAGACTGGGGGAGAGCTGGGGTGCACGGGGGGAAAGCTGGGGTGCACAGACTGGGGGGTGCCCGGTGGGAGAGATGGTGAGCACAGAGGGGGTGCATTGAGGGGCCAGGGATGCACATCCTGGGCACCGGGAAGGGGCCCCGGGGGGGCACCCAGAGGATCCCGCAGGCTCCCCGGGGGTCGCACGGCGGGAGCTCCGAAGGGTCCCGATCCTCCTCCCCCCTTGCCCGTCCCCGCCCGCCCCGCGGGGGCTCCGCACGCCGGGTCAGGCGGAGTGTGCCCGGCCCGCAGAGCCGCCGCCCGCTCCCTTTGTCAATGTCCAGTAATTAAAATGTCACCGTTTAATTTTCAGGCCTCTCGGAGCAATCTTTTCCTAATAAAGAGTCTAATCGAAACGCTCCTTCCCCCGCCTCGGCGGGAAGGGCCGCGGAAGAGGCTGCGGAGGCTCAGAGCCGCCGCGGATCGATGGAGAGAAGCCCGGATTGATCGGCCTCTAAAATTAAATTTATTGGGGTCATGGTTTTATATGGTGCTGATACAACTGTTAAATGGGGAACATTCATTTCCAATAGGAGGCGTTTATTAAACTTCCACTGAATTAGACCGCCGTGATTTATGTGGCAATCTCGGCTCAGCCCTCCAGGAGCGCGGGGCCTTCCGCGCCCGCCACGCGTGATTATTTATTTATACACCCGTGACACGGCTCCCTAAGTTTTAACCTAAATTATCCACCGGCTTCGTCTGCCAGCGGCACCGGCCCGGGGAGCAGGGAAGGATGGGGGGGTCCTGTCGGGGCGCAGCTCCTGCCCCGCCGGCCGCGGCCCCTCCGCGCCCCCCGGCCCCGGGAGGGTCCCCGGGGGGGTCCCCGGTTTGGGGGGGCGGCGGCGCCCGCAAACGTCCCGGCTCTCGCGTGCGGCGATCGTTGAGCGTTAATTAGAAATTCATTACAATTAAAAGCCGCGCGCACACGCCTTAATTACATCTGATTTTTAATTCCGAATCCGTGTTTACACAGTAAGCGAGACGTACCTCCTGATTATCCCCAATACTCTTTATACTGTACTAATTATGTAAATTAAACCTAATTAACTGACAAAAACTGCAGTCAATTCAACTGTTAAAAGATACGGCGGCTGCGAGGAGCGGGGCGCCGGCGGGGAGCGCGGCCGGGCCGGCGGGGCCGGGGTCGGGCCGGGGGCCGCTCCTCGCCTCGGGGCTCCGCGGCACCGTCGGGGCGAGCCGGGGGCCGGTTCTGCCGCCCCGGGCACCGGCGGAGCTCTGCGGGCACCGGGGCAGCCGCACGGCCCGGGGAGGGCACGGCGGGGCAGAGCCGCATCCCCCCGGAGCCCCCCAGGCCCCGACGTGCCGCCGCGGGAGCGGCCCCGGGAGCGGCGGGTACCGGCTCGGTCCGTGCCCGCTCCCGGTGCCCCGCAGCCCTCCCCGGTGCCCCGCAGCCCGTTCCGCAGCCTCTGCGGGGGTCGAACGCCGTGGGATCCCCCGAACCCCGGCGGCGAGGGGGCAGCGGGGCTCGACCCGGAGCGGGCGCGTCTCACCGCGCTCCTGCCTCCGTATGGCCGGAGAATGGGCAGGGGGGGTGTATAAATAATTAAAAGGTGAGGAATAATTACCGGCTCGGGTTGCGATCATTGCGGGAAGGCCGCGCCCGCTCCGCGTCCCCCACGACGGGGCGGCCCGGGGGGAGCGGCGGCCGCTGTCCCGCGTGGGAGCGGGGCCCGGGGGTCGGTGCCGCCGCGGAGGAGATCGGGGGGGCTCCGCACCCGCGTTTCGCTCCGCGCCGGCTCCACCGCGTGCTCCCGGTGCCGCCGGTGATGGCGGGGAAGGGCTGGCGGGGGGGGCACACGCCAAAGTGATGGCTGGGGGCTATCCGCGCCGTTATTAACTTCTGTTTGATCAGTGTAATTGCGCCGATCGCGGCCGGACGCGATGATTAATTACAGTTTAATTAACGTGGCCGTGACGAGTGCCGCATGCGGGAACCCAACCCGGGCAGGGATGCGGCTGGAGGCCCCCGCCACGCCGGCAGGACCGGCGGACACCGCGTCCCCCCGCCGCTCCGAGTCCGCCGGTCCTGCCGGCGTGGCGTGAGCCCCCGCGGGGAACGAAAAACACGAGCTCGCCCCCTTCTGCCCTCTCCTCCCGGCGATTTCGTTGCCGCCCGATGTCCCCCCCTCGTCGCCGGTACCGCTCCCGCACCCGCGCCCCGCAGCGGAGCGCGCATCCCGGCCGGGAGAGGGATGCGCGGCAGCGGCGCGTCCCCGATTTCGATGGGGTCCCTCCGCCACTCCCTCCGGGCTCCTCTTTTCGTTACCGCCCGCTCCCCCCGCAAACTTTCAACGAGCACCGCTCCCCCCGGGGTGTCCGCACGGCGGGAGGGGGGCGCGGGGGGGCCCCGGGGGCGCGGAGCGGCGCGGAGCCCCACGCAGGTGCGGCGCGGGGCCGATCCCCGATCTTACCTCGGGCAGCCCGGGCGGGTCCCCGCTCGGTGGCGGCCCCCCACGGCCCCCCCCCCCGCTCCCTCCCCGTTCACGCCGTGCCTTAAAGCCGCGCCGTGATTGACTGGAGCGCATCGGTGATTGACGGCGGTGGGGTCCCGGAGGCCGTTAATGTAAATATGCTGGTGCTAAGTGGGTGTGTCTTCCCGTTATTTTAGCTGTCACCGGATCAATGTGCAGCGTCTCCAAGTACGGATCCGGATCCTCCCTCGGTGGCGCGGCTGGTCACTCGCTCTTGTTGCATCTGTGCCGGGCGGACGCGGCGGCGGGGCGGGCGGCGGCCCCGCGGCGTCGGTGAAGGGCGCGCCCGCTGCCCGCCCGCCCCGCGCCCCGGAGGCTCCGCTGCCCCCGGGAACGGGCTCGGCGCGGACGGGGCCCCCCCGGCCGATGGCGGCCCCGGTGCCGGGCTGCGGCCCCTAGTCCCGAGCAGAGCCGGCACGTCCAGCAGCTCCGCGGCGCGGTGAGTGCGGGCGGGCGGCGGGCGCAGGGGAGGGGAGCGATGGAGGGGCGGAAAGCGGGGCGCGTTTTCGGGAGTCGCTCCCCGTTATTTTGTGTAATTACCACGGAAGCGGCTTAACCGCCGGGAGCCCTCCCCGCTAAGCCAATTTGCCCGGCTCGTTGCTGCCCTTCTGCTACGTGCGGCGGGTGCTGCCCGCCCCGGCCCCTAATCCGCCCGCGCCTAATCGCCTGCCGGGGACACGACAAAGGGGCTCCGGGGCACCGCGCCCGCCGCCCGCGGGCACCGAGCGCCAAGTTTGGGCCCGCCCGGTCCGGCCCGGGGCTCGGCCCCTCCGGCCCCGCCGCCGCGGGACGCGCCGGCCGCATCCTCCGGAGCCTTTCGTTGGGGCCCGCCCGGGGCTCGCCGCAACCCGCGGCCCGGCACGGCCCGGCGAGCCGGCACAAAGGGAAGGGAAGGCAAGGCAAGGCACCTGCCGGGGACTCGGGGAGGAAGGAAGCGGGGACGGTGACCCACCAGGACGCCCTTGCCCCGGGCTCCCGGGGCCGCGCCCGGCGGCGCTCGGTACCGGCGGCCGCGGTGCGGGGGATGCGCTCCGGTCCCGCCAGACCCCTCGGCCGGGGAGGGTCCTGCGGCAGCGCCCGGGGGGCTCCGGGCCGGTAGAGCCGAGCGAAGATCGGCCGGGCCGCGGAGCGAGGATCGGCGGGGCCGCGGGAGCGCCTCTAACCCGCGCCTCTAACCTGCGCCTTTCCCCGATTTTGTTTTGCAGGGGCGTTTTGGGGGGGAATGGAGGCGATCGCCAGTCAGATGGGAAATGGGAGAGATGCAAGCTCCTCCCCAAATTCAAAGCAAGAGCTGCAGCCGTACCAAGGCTCCAATACCCTCAAGCCCAACCAAGTGGGTGAGACCTCCCTGTACGGCGTGCCCATCGTGTCCCTGGTCATCGACGGGCAGGAGCGGCTCTGCCTGGCGCAGATCTCCAACACGCTGCTCAAGAACTACAGCTACAATGAGATCCACAACCGGCGGGTGGCCCTGGGCATCACCTGCGTGCAGTGCACGCCGGTGCAGCTGGAGATCCTGCGGCGGGCCGGGGCCATGCCCATCTCCTCCCGCCGCTGCGGCATGATCACCAAGCGGGAGGCGGAGCGGCTCTGCAAGTCCTTCCTGGGCGAGCACAAGCCGCCCAAGCTGCCCGAGAACTTCGCCTTCGACGTGGTGCACGAGTGCGCCTGGGGCTCCCGGGGCAGCTTCATCCCGGCCCGCTACAACAGCTCCCGCGCCAAGTGCATCAAGTGCAGCTACTGCAGCATGTACTTCTCCCCCAACAAGTTCATCTTCCACTCCCACCGCACCCCGGACTCCAAGTACACCCAGCCCGACGCCGCCAACTTCAACTCCTGGCGCCGCCACCTCAAGCTCAGCGACAAGACGGCCACGGAGGAGCTGTCGCACGCCTGGGAGGATGTCAAGGCCATGTTCAACGGCGGCACCCGCAAGCGGACCTTCTCCCTGCAAGGGGCGGCCGCCGGCGGGCCCGGGGCCGGCTCCCCCGCCGCCAAGGCGGCCCTGCACCCGCCGCCGCCCGCGGGCCCCGAGCTGGCCCCGGCGCACA